GCCATTGAAGCCAGACAAATTCCCATTAGATATTAGGCACATATTTTTAACTCTGTGGGTTAATAACCATTGGAACAAAGCCCCAAGAGCTGTGATGGATTCTCCATCTCTTGATGTCTTCAAATCCAGACTCAATGCCTTTTTGGGCAATGTGCTTTGATCAATCACAAATAGGGCTGCCAGATGATTTCAACAAAAATACCAGACACACTTGATACTACATCACAATATACATTATATTTTATTTAGAAAATACCAGACATTTATATTTTCTAAATTTGTTTCCTGAACAGAAAGCACAGATACTGCACTGTCCAGTTCAATACTAGACACTTGGCAACCCTAATCACAAGTGATGGGGCTCAATTTTAAGGATAACTGGAAGAAATTTAATGGACTGTGATATACAGGAGAACAGGGTAGATGACTTTATGGGTGCTTCTGGCCTTAAAAAACAAACAATGAAAAAATAAAAATATAAATCTATAAATAAGGACAACTCTATAAGGGTTTGCAGGAGTGAGTCCCAGGATTATATTTGATACATAGTATATTTATACGCATATACAGCACATGGGGAGTCAACGGTTATCCACTATATATGGCTACATAAAGTTGTAAGCGGTTAAGACACACACCCCCACCACCATTTTCAATCATACTGGCAGTGAGTATATAACAAATATTAAAATCTAGCTCAGACTGTTTACAGATGTCAGAAACATTTTATGTACATGCCTGACACACTTGTACTTCTCTCATTTCCTAGATGCCCAGATATAACAGAGCTGTCCTATCCATATGGACAGGACCCAGGGTATTACCTGGGGGCATGGTGTGAGTCCCCTCCCTGTGCTCAGGCACTATGCTTCCTGCTACTGCAAAAAAGCCAAGTACAGTGGGCCAGATGGGGGTGGCAGGGTGGAACGGAGCAGACTGTTGGCCCACTCTAGCTATCGTCGCCATGGTGAGTGTGAGGGAGGGCACGACTGCTGCCCTGTGCCAAGGCCCCAGTAATCCCCTGGCTTGCTACACATGGGGGAGCAGGCAAGGAGCAGAGCAGGGGGAGGAAGGAGCATGGCATGGGTGGAGCTGGGAGGAAGGAGTGGGGCAGGGGCGGGGTTGGAGTGGAACAAAGGGGCCAGTTGGGGCCTGCAGTGGAGGGGTTGCCCCAGATCCCACACCCCCCTAGAGACAGTTCTGATAGCATGGGTATACTTACATCATGTCATTGTATCAAAAGGATTTTAAACGCGTACCTTAGAAAATACTTCTGAATTAACCCTCCCACATTTTATTTTAAATATTATCTTGCTTAAGGAAACAGTAATTGTAGTTATGTCTACACTGCAATAAAAATCTCAGGACCCAAGTCAGCAAACTCCTGCTCTTGGGGCTTAGGCTGCAGAGCTAAAAATAGCAGTAGAATATAGACGTTGGGGTGTGGATTGGAGCCCAAAGCTCAGAGACCCACCTCCTCACAAGGTCTTGGAGCTCAGAGCCTAATCCCTGCAAGCTTGAGTCAGCTGAGCAGGGCCATATCACACTGATGTTATAAGTCACCTCACAAGTTCCTCAAAGGTCATTTTTGAGGCATACCAGCTTACCCACCTCATGCAGAGACATTCCTGAATCAAGTACAAGTGACCACACACAGTTTGACTGCTGAGAACTTTGCTTTGAAAATAAGAATTAGCTCAGTATTCTAAACTGTAGCTTGTAGAAAGAATGAAGTCTAAATAGAAGAGGGAGAGAGTGGAAAAATAATTCTGAGTGGATGTAAATTGTATACCGCCGATCCTCGAGTTGCGGTCGACTTACGACTGTTCTCATTATGACCGAAGCTGTCATAAATGGCGGACCCCAAGTTACAAACGCAATCCGCACTTACAAATAGCGCAGTCGTGTGTAACTCTATGGGGTCCGACTTACGAACAAACCGAGTTACGACCAATTGCTTGGTCCGTAACCGGTTCGTAAGTTGGGGAGAGGCTGTAAAAGGCTTCCTATTCCATTCATACTTCTCACACATCTTTTGTATAAGATTTTCTTAGAAAAAATGAAGAAATTACAGGGATAAAAGTGCTTTTCAAATTAAAATTTCCACCCAGCCTAGTAGAGTTTGGGTTAGAACCATAACTATGAAAACATGGCACCTTCTTGATCTGGAGATCAGCTCCCTATTCAGTATGCTACCATTTTACTTTAGGGATCAGATTGAGATTGCTTTTCCCTTCCTGAGAAATATCTTAACTCCACAACCAACTCCACTGACTTCAATGTAATGAAAGGTAATATTCAATGTAAGTGGTATCACCATCTGGCCCTTACTAACCAAGGACATAGCATAGCAGTGTACACTTGCCCTAACTTATTTAGGTCATTTAAGGATAAGGAAACAAAAACAGTGTCCACTCAAATTCCAATATAAGGAGAGAACAACTCCTCTGGCAACAGAAACAGCCCTACTAAATAAACATAACTCCATCAAGGGATGGTACTTGGTCCTGCTGTGAGGGCAGGGGACTGGACTCGATGACCTCTCAAGGTCCCTTGTAGTTCTATTAGATGGTATAGCTCCATCTCAAAAGAGATGCAGTCACTATATTAAATATAATTAGAAAGTATGCATGTATTAAATTACTACATGTAGTGTAAGTGATGATAGAGAGCTAGCTGGTGTAACATCTATTTGTCACTGAACATTGAAATAGTCTTTCTGTTGCAGACATAGCCAGTTACTTGTTCTCAGAAGCATTTTTGCATCTCAGGACAAAATTACATATTTCTGGTTAACAATCTTAAAGGAAGATATGCAGTTATTCCTTACTTTGGAAAATGGGTGAGGATTAGTGTTCGTTTCTCTTGAGGAAGCTTGTCTTTTTCCTGTCTAGCCTGCTCCAGGAGTTGCCGTCTCATAACAGTAAAGACAGAGCGTAGCAGAGTTCTCCCAAAAACCTGTGTGGTTTCGTACCGAGGTAGACTATCACAGAACTGGGGAACATTGCAGTAACACAGCCACCTGCAGCAAAATAAAAAAGCCAAATAACCACCTCAATCTGTGAATACCCTGAGGTGACAATTCCACTAGCAACAAAGAAAGACAAATGACTATACAAATCCATTTTAAGTCCCCTGCACATGTAGCAAAAGTCTGCCATTTTTTCTGAAAATTGGGTAACCCCTTACCAGGTGATGCTTACTGGTTACAGTTAACCAGTGGAGGCTAGAGCAGCCCTGCCCACCACAAGCAAGGGGCTGCTCCAATCCCACTGGGCCCGCCAAGCGCAGGGTGCTCCAGCCAGCCCAAGCAGCCCCTGCCTGCAGCGGGGGGGTGGCACTCCAGAGCAGTCTGGCTGGAGTACCCCTCCCACTCCGTTGAATAGGTTAACCCGTTAAACATTGTTATATTCTATTAGCGGACATCTCTCCTGAGGCTGGATCATGGCACTGCAGGGGCTAAGCAATAATATAGTTGACTATACACAGTGGAGTCAGAGTTAATTTTATAATCAAGATTTAAGCCTAATGTAATATCATATTCTCTCATTTACATGCTAATATGTGGTTGCTATCACTAACAGATGGGGGAATAAGGATTACTGATATGGTGATGCTACAGGAATCTATTCTGGTATCAATTATTCTTATTTGCAAAGAGTATTCATTTTTTATCTGAAAACTTTTTGCCTTTCCTCTTCTATACTGCTGATGGAATTAAAGTTCTGTAAAAGTAATAAAGAAGGAGAGCTCTGAGGATCTTGAACTGCCATCATTTTTAACCCCTTCCTTGGACCATTTGTTATTATAGAAGACAAACTAGCACTTGTTATGTTAATCTAAGAAGTACCATACTACTTTAAGAAAAATATTTTAAAAATTAAAATGTTAGGTTTTTTCCAATTAATAAATCATTCCTTAGAATTCTTATAAAAGTGGTTAAGGACTCTAATAAGGCCAGGCAACCAGTTGTCTCTCAAATCTTTAAAGTTTATATTAATGCACTCCAATAGTCTGACAAATGAGTCTTTTCTCATGAAAGCTTATGCCAAAATAACTCTGTTAGAGTAAATGTACACAGCATCATTATTTTGCAATAACTAGCACTATTCCAAAATAACTTAGTCCACATTTACATAGCAGGCAGTTATTTCGAAATAATGTCAAAATACTGTCAAGCTGGAAGACTTCTTACTCCGACTCCTGTAACCCTCATTGTACGAGGAGTAAGAGAAGTTGGAGGAAGAGTGCTCTATCTCGAAATAAGTGCTGTGTAGACACTCCCAATTTCAAAATATGCCCTGCTGTGTAGAAGCACCCAACTGCATACTTATTTCAAAATAGCTTATTTTGAAATGGGGAGTATTTACACAGCACTGAGTTATTTCAAAATAACGCTAGTTATTGAGAAATAATGTTGCTGTGTAGATGTACCCTAAGATACCACAGTTACCTCCCTGATATTTTTTATTTTAAATAACAAGCTTCATAAATTTATCACGCATGAAATGAAGCCTGACATTCCACCAAGCATCCAATCAGTTTAAGAGTAATTATTAAATACAGCGCCAAGTCTGTGAATAGGACTGAAAGCATGGGCCTCTTATGACACTATGGAACTTCATTAAAGCCAGCAAGTCCACAGGTAAAGACAATGGTTGTGAGAATTTTTGATGGTGTATCTGTAGCTACAGAATCAGTGCCTATATTCTGAAAAGGGAAAACTAAAGCAAAGCATAGTTACCTTGTATAGTTCACTTTATAGCCAGCAAAGTCATCATTAGGGGATCTCAATCTTCGCTGCAAAGGTGTCTCCAAATGCCAGTAGTTGATGCGGTTTAAAAACATTTTAGCTAGTTCAACTATTGTTTGCCTTTCCTTTGATGGTAGATGACTAAATTTGTATTGTACAAAATTATTCACTCCCTGAAATCCAAAGGTGAAAGTGATGTTTATTTAACAATTTAAGCATAACCTCTTTTCATGTAAACACTACTAGCATTTTGTTTGGTTAAACTTGTATTACAATACAGAGAAAACACACAGTGAGTGGTTTAAAATATTGTTTTCTGCCAAATATATTATTGGTTCTGCTAAACAGAATCAAATGCACTCGATCGACTGGCCTATAATAAAGGGTATAAACCATGATATTCTCTCACTTCACATGATATAGAACTTTTACTGGGAAAAGGTCATGTGATTTTTCTTGGACACACAATGTGCGGTTTTTGCTGATGACTATGTTGGTATCTTTGTAAACTGACATTTTCTTGTTAGAAATGAACTGCTCTAAGATTTAGGCACAGGACTGAGAAAAGTATGTAAAAACTAGTTAGGCTGTTATTATCTAAGAAAGACTAGGCAAATGACCAATTGTGATTACTGTTACTGACTAGCTATAACTTCTTGCAGTCTTAGCAGAATGTTTTCACACAGTCTGTTTGTCACTGAGTTGTCCACTTTCAGCCCACTTATTGTTTGTCTTACCTCACTGACATGTTATGGCTTGTTCTTTAGATTCTAAATTCTCCATGGCAAAGGCTGTCATTAACAATATATTTGTACAGCACCTAGCAAAATGGAGCCTTGCCCTGGCTCAGGTCTCTAGGAGTTATCACAATATAAATGTAAAATAATAGTAACATGTATATGTAACACTGTTTTTTGCTGGAAGGAATTCAAAGCTGATTAAATATTTGTGCTTTGTCACCATCTTGTGGCATTAGCATGCAAATATTATATACACCAATGTGTAAGTGTACATTTCAGAAACAATGTCCCTGGGTTGTATCCCCCCATACTATATGTGTGCCACATAGTTGTGGTTCCATGGTGAGTCATACCAACACCTTCCTATTTCTGCAAACCTTAATTTTTCACTTAAGAACAAAAGTTTCTATTCCTTATGATTGAAAAGACATCTTTCTGTCCATTTCAGTTCTGCATTAGTGTCAGCAAAGAGACTAAAGCAATGAAGAATGTTATTGTATGGAGTTATGATAAGTTAATCTCAAAGAAACATTTAATCAGTGTGCAAGTTTAAAATAGGCTATTTGATAAAATAATATAGTTTCCATTAATCCTCAGATTGCTTGAAAGATATCCAGGCCTGACTCAGCACAATATTTAAGCATGTGAGCAGTCTCACTGAAGTTAGCAGAACTTCTTGTGTGTTTAAAGATAAGCAAATGATTATGTATTTTGCTAAATCAAAATCTCACCTTCTGTGTTTGTTATCTACATGTATATATTCATAGAGGCATGAACTACTGTGGTATATTAGTGGTTTTCTCTCCGTTGTTTCTGCTTTGTAGTCCTGAGATGATATGCTGGCCCCACTGAAGCCAATGGCAAAATTGCCACTGAACTCAACAGCAACAATATTTCATCCCAGGGCTAGATTCCTTAACTTTAAATGTGGCCTTGTCAAGTGCACCAAAATAAAGAACAACAATTAGAGCTGATATAATGAAAAAGGTACTTTTAAAAAGTTTACTATTTAAATTACAAGCACTGCACATAGTTTTTCTGAGTGGGTGCTCCAACCAAATGCTCTGCCAACATTTTGTCCCTTCCCTCAAGGCCTGAACCTCACTCCATCTCTTCCTATCCCTGCTCCAACCCAATCCCCAAGTACCTCCTGCCTGTTGTCAAACAGCTGATCGGCAGGGCCAGCCAAACAGCTGATGGGCGTGTGGCAAGTGGGTGCTAAATTTTCACCATGGATGCTCCAGCCTCATAATACTTGAAGAATCAGCCTCTATGATTTAAACTGAGGGAAACCATTCTATATTACATTAAATGCAAGCTGAATTGTAAAAAATAATTCAATAATTGAACCACAATGCCCTTCCCAGAAGATGGAGAGGAAATCATCTTCATGCAAACCTCAGATTTACGTTTGTCCAAATGATATAGAGAGTTAATATTCACACACTGCCGAAATCCACACATACGGACGACAGCAGGGTCATTGTTCATGGAAATCAGCATGTTCTGATTTACCTGTTCAATACTGGGCTTCTCGAATGGGGGGCTTTCCAAAGACCCCTCTACCACAGGTTTCCCCATCTGTAAGATGCATTTCCTCAAAAGCTATCAAAAACAATTTTATTTTTAAATGGTTAACATCTTTATATAAACTTCTGGCAGACAGTGAAAACTGTCTAATACAACATATTAATTGTTATTATTCAAATATTTGTTAATACATGCAATAAACTAAGTTTCAGCTAACTTGAGTTAATTGCCTCGCTCTCTAAAATGCACTGAGAAAAGCTGTTTTGAGGACATGTATACAGCTAAAGTATACTACATTGTCATCTGGCTCATCTCCTGACCTATAATTAAGGAAAATGCCAGGGATGGTTGGAAAGAAAATACATATCAAAATGAGTGCTGACATTGGACCAGATTCTGAAATCACTGGAAAGATGTCAAAAGTGAAGTACCATGCAATGTAAAAGCAGCAAAATCTAGTCCAAAATTTACAATCTTATTACTAGGTAGGAAATAGGAACTCTTACCCTACAAATTGTCCAAGTCAATACAAATAAAATGGTCCATTAGGACAATGAAATTAATGTAAGTACAAAAGAATGAAAAATATGACAAGATGCTACATGTGAATCTAAGGTTGCAGAAAAACAATTGTATGAGGTTACCTTTTGAGAAAAGTCTTCTTACCTTGAACAGGGAGAAGTAAACTTGCTTTGTATCTGCATCTTCTTCTTTGTGGATACAGGCGAAGAGATATTCCACATCCAACACTATCCCCAGTAGCCTATTCATTTCTTCCTCAGAAACATTCTCCAGGTGAGAGACATGAGCAGCTAAACAAAATAAAAATCCAAAAATTGTGAAAAAACCTAGCTGGAAGGAAGACATTCTGTGGCCAACAGGATGTAATTTCTAAGACAACACAAAGGACAAACTCTGTAAACCCCCACTTAAACAGCACCTTTCATCAGAAGAACCTTAAAGCATTAAGTCCACAAGGCCAATTTTTATCATGATTTACAGATGATACACAACAGCCAGAGGTAAGTGACTTGTACAAACTCATGCAAGTTTGTCCACATTGAGAACAGAACCCACAAATCCTGTCTACCATTGCCTTAACAGCAAATTGTACTTCTACTATTTAGGTAACCCACACAAATCCAGGTTAGTATTCTCTCTCTACTTGGTGTCTAGGGTATGTATAGAAATTATGAGTATGCTACTGACTCCAAGTTAATGGATCTGGTCCTATAGCCAAGTAGTAGTGGCTCATGATTTTTAACAGGCATCCCAGATGACCTAGCCATCATATTATTACAAGTGTCAATTTAACTAGCAATGAGAGAACATTTCCTGCTCACAAATGAGAATTTCTTGCTTTAAACTAGGCACTGGTAGGCATGTTTCATGACTATTTATAAAATGTCAGGTTCCAAGAATGCACAGTATGGGTCACATTTACAATGCTCCTCCTGCTGCACACTCTACATGCCCTTTCAAGCAGAAGCTTTAGGGGAGAATATTTAATATAGAAGGCCAGATTTTTAAAAGTCAGCCTTCCATTTTAGCACCTGTAAATCACAAGCAAATTTTGTCTTTTTTTTTTTTTTTTGAGGCTGCAATTCTGTAGGTGCAAAGAAGGAAATCCATTGAAACATGGTCTCAAAACTTGATCTTAAATGTACCTGATGCACACACCTCCTCTGGGCCACAGGGATGTGCCAGGAGTGGCACATAGCTAGCAACTGGAAGCCACTCACTGCACTGCCGGTGGTGAAACCAGGGCCCCAAGGAAGTTGTGATTAAATAGCCCAGGGTATCAAAAGGCAGGGCCAGGGGATGCACAGGGGCAGGGCTGGGAAGGGCGCAGGGGGACAGGTGTGAGGATCCAGCTGTCAGGCAGCTTGGTGGCCACACTCCCAGCCCTGGGCCTCCCTACTTCAATCCCCTACCCTGAGCTCTCCTCACATCCTTCCTCCTGCCCTGACTCCTGCACCTCCCACATTTCTGACCGGAGCACCCTATTTCTTGTCCTGACTGCTTCACTCTCCACATTCCTTTCCCCTGACCCCCTCCTTAAGGACCCAAAGAACACTGGTTAAATGTGCTATCCATAAAGAAGAAAAACAATTAAAGCATTTAAAATGTGAAGTATTAAATGTAGCTTTTGTTTTGAACAACATCCATTGACTCCTTCCCTTTGGCTGGAGAGAGTTTTAAAAAAGAAAAAAGATATATTTGGCAGTCTCTCTTTAGATGATATTAAAGAGGGCAATAACAGTCCTTCAAAGAAAAAAGAGAATTAGTT